ACGAGTTACGTTAACAAGTAATTTTAGATAGACCGTTGTTAAAATTCAGGGTACAACTTACAAACCTTAAAGAGTGCTCGCTCGCATTGAAATACTGCTGGAAAGTGAAACCATGCGTAGTGCACTATCTGCAGTGGTAGAGGTCGCCGACCGTCAGATCTGCGATAGCCGCTGATATGGACATTGCCACCTCGCTATACAGTCACAGTACACGCAGCTTTCGCCTCCCTGTATCCACGTATATCATACTGAATACAATGCAACTAGGTGTATACGCATAAGGGCGACCGTGCAACACTAAGCCGCTTTATCTGAAGTGTCATCGTACGTGGCTTTGACTGTGGCACAGGGTAAGAAATTCAAAATGAACAGCATCGATTACAAAAATCGAGTTTAATAACAATCGATGCAGAGGTAGTAAAAAAGTCGTGATAACCTGTTGATAAAAAATAAATTATGATATTGAAATTTTGTAATCTCATCTTAACTAACTAATTTTAAATGTTTTGAATTTGGTGAGTATCTCACATTACTCAGAGACTCGCATAAAAAATACTGGACCATATCAAGTGAAACTTTACAGAAATATGACCAATATTACTACCCCTAAAAAATATACCACCATTTTATTTTGAAACTCTCTTACGCACTACTAACTTCCAAAACTGCTATGTTATTTATAATTTACACATTTAAATTGTAATTTCAAACGGTTAATAATTTCATGCAACAAGGTATAAAGAACCCCATTGCGCTACTATACTCTTCCTGGTGCAATGCACGGTCATAGCAGATAGTCATCATATTTTATCAATGTTGACATGATAATAAACATTTTGAGCATTTTAAGCTGGATCTCTACAAGTGTTTTGAGGTTTTTAAATGTTTATTTAATATTAAGTATAGTTAAACGTTAAACGTGTTAAGTATTTAAGTAGTTTTAGTTTTAATTTATGAAAGAGACTAGTAAAACGATGAACTATATCATTGACTATATACCATAACTTTATGGTTCACCACATTCACCACATAATCTGACAATCTAAAACATAGTCAGGCATTGTGTGAATACCAAATCAAATAACAAATAATATTTTCCAATTTCCAACGTCTTTCAAGCGACAATCGAATTAGAAACCGACAACTAAACGGCACTTCTCAATGGTAAAGAATGCTCGAGAAAGTTAATTCCCTACTGAGGTTAGTTTCTAACCACTACTAAACTACTCACTGCGCATGAAATAGTTCAAAAGAGCAACTTTTTAACGAGAGAACAGAAGAGAAAATGTGGTTCGGTCAGACAGTTATGGCTCTATTAATAGTTGCCATAGAACACCTTGTTACAGTAAAACAACGCCAATTTCTGCGCGGTGATTGCGTGGGTGATTTGTAACAGACATGCGCGGTGGATTAGTGCGTCGTCGTAGTGTTGTATAAGAGAATGCTTCACTGCGCCAATGATAAATGATTGATGTAATCACAGGATTGTAGAAATACTCTAAGAACAAGAATTCATATTATTCATGATATTTGTTTGGCGCAACATTTTCCACTCTTAGAAGCACTGATACTCAATAATCAATAATCAGTTTTGAAAATAATCATAAATATGTACAGCAGAAAATAATTATCTATGAACATGTGGAATTTAAATACAAGCAAAGATTTCTTAATAATTTAATTAGCTTTTTAAAAATACTCAGGACAATTACATTACTTCTCAAACGTAAAAGTATTATTTTCGGAAAACAACGACACAGTGCATCTGGTGTAAAATACACCTTGTGATCTTAAATGTTTTCTCTCCTAAGAGTCCTAAGGAAATCCAATCACATTCAAACATTTATTACTTAGTTAATGTTGACCTGTAGCAAGCCTAATTCATAAAAGTAGTTTTTTTTTATCATTCATGAGAATAGGAAATTAACGAGTATAATATGCGTATGCCTCTACCTCAACAGAAACGCGTTGGTTGTTTTCACTGAAGATGTACTATAGCCCAATCATAACATGATTTTCATGCGTCTTTCAGAGATCCAGACTCAATACTGAATGTCTGTCATAGACAAGTTGAGCACTATATTGCTTGTAACCATTACGGACATAGTAACATAATAAAACCCATCCCGATAGATTAATTAGTTTATATTATTTTGTCATTGCTTCTTAATAATGCACAAAAGACTAAAAACTATAAGTTTGGTTCTGTACATAGGAGGCTCTATCTTTTAAGACCCACTATACTTAAAACATGTATTTGGTAATGTAATAAAGAAAGCTGAAGTATTCCATCAGTGATTTGTACCTTCATCACTGTCGAGCCGCGGGCAAAAGACACCTAAAACTCATCAGTTTCATAATGGATGGTGTGAAGTAGCAAGTATTGAGGAATCCATTAAAAACCAAGAATGGTAATCGACAGAGTAAGCACAAATACTAATTAAGGCACTTTCTTGTTTGACAAATGGAACCCAATGATTGATCTTGGTCTTTAAAATACGCCTCAACATACAACTGGATATTTGCTAGCCCCTGGAGGAAAAATGCATTTTGAATCTTTCAATGCTACTGAAAAAATTCGAGGAGTCATCGTCCACTTGAAAGTATTGTATTCCGGACTAAATCGCAATCTCCTGTATAAATATCACAACGATAATTTGACCGTAACAGCTGTAATAGCGTGGTGTGGCGGACCGGGCGTCAATTCATCATCTACTCGTGTATTTCCAAGTGAAGACCGGTCATTTTCCACTCGGAAGCTGTCGGACTAATCACCAATACTTTACAACCCCGACCTACCTACAGGTGTACACTGTACAGTCTACAGTCTACAGTCTACAGCAAGCGAGACGCTGATGCGCCTGGTTTGCATCAGGAAGAACGACGCGTTAGGAAAAATATTACCTGAAAGCAAAAAAATACGTGAAAAAACACTTATATAATAATATATTTACACTTATACTGTTTACTCACAAGACGGTAAATACATATAAAAGATGGTTGTTAGTGGTCAATTTCGATTGGACAATCAAGACATCATCAGACCCAATAGGCAAATACATGTATTTACCGCCTTGTGAGTAAACAGTATAGGTGTAAATATATTATTATAAGTGTTATTTGTCGTATTTTTGTGCTTTCGGGTAATTTAATAACACGTACGATGCTGATAAAGAAGTTTTTTAAAAAATATTATGCAAAATACGAAATAAGGTGTATCATAAATGAATGATGATTTATTCGATGAAAATATACTAAGCTGTATGTGTGTGGTAGACACGCTTGCTTGAAGCAAAGGGTTGTCATTGGTCCTAGATGAAAATACTTTATTAAAAAAACAGTCAAACCTATGTGTTACTTGTATTACTGTTGGAACGATCCGTTGCAGTATAGATCAACCATAGTTATTCCGTGGAGTTGATAATGGAGATGAATGTTCTCTAGATTAGAATATTTATTTTTTAAAGATCCATCATGGTTGAGTGTGTAGAACGTTTCAAACAAATAACACGGAAAATAACGATTGCAAACGAAATACAACATTCAACAGTAACCAACCATACTCTAACTGTACCCGAGATACGCCGAAGGTAGATAAGTTGAGATGGATTTTATATAGCTAAAAATTCTGACCTAGAGATGTGATCCAATGTCACACTACGAAACATCTGTAATTTTCACTACTGAAGATGATCTTAGCATTGATACTAGAGACATAAGTTTGTTTTGTTATTTCTTGTAATCTTGAGGTCAATCTATTAAAAGTTAAAAAATACGTATCCATATAAAATTCTCCGTTCTTCCGTATAAAATGTAGTCTGCAATATAAGACTACACATGTGTAATCTTATATTGCACAATTAAAACTTTTAATGTTCACTAGAATATGCATAGAGAGAATATACGGCTAAACTAAAGACAGCTCGAATTCATCTATAAGCATCACTTAGGTTAAGGTTATCATTGCTGTTCGATTAGACAATCATATACATTGTGCTCGCGGTTGAACGAAATGCATTGTTATTATATTAGGATTGGTTCGATGTGACCAGGGTCAGACGGAGGAGCCTCATCAATGTGGAGCAAAGGTTAAGTATGGTGTACCACAAGGCTCTGTTCTGGGGTCTATTCTTATACCAACATTAATATAACGGCTCATTCAAGGATATGCAAATATTATCCCCACGATCTTTAATAAACGATATTGTTCAACCTCTTGCATTTGCAATGTGGTTGAACATAAATATCAATGACAAAGATTTTTAAAATTGTTGTTTAAACAGCTATTTTACTAATCGGTTTATTAAAGAGCAGGTGTGCATGTCAGGAGAATGCTACTTTATACAATTGTCAAAATACATACACACGATGCAAAGGAATTCCGCGTACTTTAACTGCAACATATCATACGATACACCAGTAGTATAATTACAAACTGTCGATGTTTGGTAAGACGCTTAGCCAAGATGTTTTATGGCTAAGTATGTACATTGTACATATTACAATATGTACAATGTAAGATATTGTACGCAGCCATCACTTGATTACAATCATAGGCAAATTCGTCCACTTGAGATGGCCTCTTTTTAAAATTCTTGGAAGATTCACAACTTTTATGTGGGTACTTTATACTATATTACAATTTAAATAAATAGTCTTATGCATATTTCGATGAGTATGACTGACTCGACGCATACATTGCCTTTATTAGGCTATTGCTTGGGACTGTTGAAAGTATTTTGTACGTTGTGATTGTTTATGTTTTACACTAAATAGAAAACCAGTGATTTAGCATAAATAAAATTAATACAATTGGTTTTTCTAATGTCTTTTTTTGTTTCGGAAATAATTAAAATAATTCCATGCCTTATTGTCCGTAACAATCTTCCTGCCAGCAAATAAATTGTGACTGTGCAGCCAGCATTGCTACTGTATTATGGTTCACATACAGGGTATAATAAATTGTTATAGCGTCACCATAAACAAATATCGCTACATACCTGTGGTGGAGCTGTACTCGCCGATGTATCTCTTCGTCAGGTAACGGACAGTCACAGCTGAAACACAAAGTAAGAGTTAGTAATATAATTGTAATAACAACCTTTTTCAGAGAATGATTGGTTTAAGTGGAACTAAACATTTTGTATATTATAAGCAAAACATAAAATAATTTTAATTTGAAGTGTATGGTTGATGATTGCAATAAAAAAGTGGATTAGGAGGTATTACAACATATTTATTCTTAGCCGATTATATAAGATTGTTATATCGTAATGAAGACACATTATTAGTCATTTCAATCATCTTTCAAGGGATGTTAGTGGCATGTGGTTCATGTATCCATTAAACTAAAAGATTGTAAAACACCCACACGATTGAAATGGCTGTTACTGAAAAATTATCATCATTCAGGGACTAGTCAAATCTCAACTTTGTCATAAATTAATAATTTGTAATTATTCACGAAACCATGTAGTTTGATTATTGGTTAATAATCAATTTTAACTACCCTACACATTCAGACTCGTGTCTTTAGCTTGGTCGAGAATGAGAACCAAAATTTTCTGTCATTTTGTTTTCAGTATGCCTATCTGTACGGGTTGCAATGAGGATAACATATTTAAAACCTACTTTATATAAATGGATACCGTTTGGATACAAATATGGTTCAAGAAAATAATTATTTTTGTTAAGTTTTTTACTTTGGCCACTGTCTACAGGATTATTAGGCATTTGTAATTTATTTTTAAGAAAATACTGCAAATATTTTAAAATACGTGTTGAGTTTATAGGAAAGCCAGTTAATGGAAAAACACATGATATGAAGAAAACTATGCTGTTTAATCAAATGTATAAAATACAAAAAAGGGTAAATTTTGCTTATATTATGAGCTTTACGATACACCTATAAGATGTCTTGAAAACGAATCAAAACCTAAATGTGTAAATAAAGGCCAGCAACATCTCGTAGTGGGAGTGATATGAGAGCGTATGTTACACTACTGATCACAGTGTTGTCGGCTCAGCACCAAGCAGCAGGTGCGAGATGCAGCGTTTACAGACAGTGAAAGTGATCTTCAACTTCCTCGGCAACCGGTCAACGGAGTCGCGGTCAAAAAACTGTATTTATTGGACAAGTCCAATGTTAATAGGTTTCTTGCTGAGTCAGTCGCCGGCTGAGAAAAACACGGGTCCAGTGCGGCTGTAACTAATGTTGACATAAGACAATAATTTTGTCGTTAATTTTATACACAGTAGTTTAATGCGCCTTACTGGTTCGTGGTGTTTCTAAAATTATATCACGAAGAATTTATATATTTATAAGATACACTTTACAAAATATATAAATACATTACCTTATTAATATCGTGCACATTGGGTTGATATTTAGGTTAATCAGTATTTTATTGTCACTAACTCATTGGCACCGCCGTATAATGCAAATTAAAATGTTTGTATTATATTAAATGAATTTGATAAAACAAACAATGAAGAAACATGACAATTAATTTTCGATAATCTTCATAAATCAACCTCAAACATGGATGTTCCTTACGTGTGTTTTGTAAATGCAATTACATTGTATTCTTCCGGATAAAGACTTTTCCTTTGTCTTTTCCAGTATTTTTAAAATAGTTGTTACTTAGTGTTTAGACATTTGAATGTTTCTACGGCTTAAAGAAAAATACTTCTCTTCCTCTATACCAGAAATAAACTAGCATAATAATATCAACAAAATCAAATTAATAAAATAGACTAAAAACTTTTGATTATATTCAGATATTATATACAATCAAAATTGAATACTACTACAGGAAACAAACAACTAATCTGTGATCCAAAATGTCTAAAACATTTACTTTTAATTTAAACTACTAATTATTTTGTGTAATAACAATGGTCAATTTAATACTGCAGCCATTATAATTTTCGTGAGTATAAATACGTGTTCAATGTAACTTCTATGGAACTTTAAGTAACCTATTTAATTACCTTTCACAGAAAAAAAACTACATCAGTTTGGAACTAGGTTAATGTGTCTCAAAAGGATAAGATTGACGATTTCTGTTTTTTACGAGGTTAGAAAGTGATTGATTAAGCATCTACCGGAGACGTAAAATAGCCATTAAAAGTGCAGGATGCCACAAATGAGTTTCATCATGTTCGAAAAAGGTTAGGGTTTCAACGAAACTACCATGAAATATCAATAGATTTATTGGAATTACAATCAAAACTAACTAAAACTAACGACTCTTTTTAAAGATAAATTTATGTTCTTCTTTGTTATTTTAAGAGTAATTTTCTAACATGGTTTGGTATGATTTTAATAAAAAAAAAAACCGCTTTAAATACAAATGAAACGTTAATATTAAAATGTTAAAAACATAACAAAACATTTTTCACAATTGAATCTAAGTATGTTAATTGGTCATCACCATTAATAGTCATCAAGAACAGATGGAATCATTAAATTATATTACAGGCAGACATATGTACAGTTGGACTTAACTTAATTTTAAGCAGCCCGGGTTTTGAAAGTAATTAATATGTAAATATTTACATGGATGATTTATGAAAATTTAAATATCAACCAAATAGATGTTCATTAAGTGATTTATCAGGTTACAAATAGGGAGTCTGGTGACTACCAATTAAGTCACAGGCCTATAAACACATATACGTTTTCCTTCTTGAGAACTAATTTGGTTAGAATTTTGAAAATAAAAAACCAAAGAAAAAAACTTTCAGAAATATTTTACAGATTTATGTCGCAGAATATGCCATAAGGCCATTCAGTTATCCTGATACGCAATTTGACATACTTGTATTTGATTAAAAACGGCAAAATTGTATTCAGATTGACTTTAATAAGCCCTTCAAGTAATTTAGCTGTGCCTAATCCAAGACGACGTGACGCGGTGACACTTATCCTGTAAGCGACATTGAGCAATACCAAAGTGACACATGAAGGCCGCAACAGCTGGTCCTGGCAGATACCGGACATTATCACACTTGTAGCAATCAACGCCACTCGTCACTCGTCACTCGACACTCACACATTAGAGTGAGGCGATGAAATGATTGATGGCTCTGACTGTAATGGGCCTGCCATTTGATAAATGATTACTGTCTCAAACAGTGTCGCAACTACAACAGGTAGCTTCGCAGACGCGGGAAATATTATCTGTTCACACGAAAAAACTAAGTTATTAAAGACTTTTGCATAGTACAATGAAAGAGGTCCACAAAGCTAGAGGGTATTGAAGCAGGTAAGATACGTGAGAGTTGTTAAATGTCTATGTTATTGACCTGTGTGCTAAGTCTTATAACTCGTTGATGGTTACCACTTGATGATATGATACATATTGGCATAATGCATACATTGGCGAAGATAAATAAACAAATAAACCGTATTTTTATATCTAAACACGCTTGAACTATTAAGACGAGAAATTAGGGATGACAAACACAGCACATTGACTATTTAACATTCAGTGTACAGGGACAATTGTGTTCTATCTTGCTAATACACCAAAATTACTCTTGTAGTTCTACATTATACACGTCTTACAAAATACACGCAAGTCCTAAATTTGCACTCATATACCTAACTTGAAAGCATGAACTCAACTAATGCTGTTATACTCTGAGCTCAACCACACCCTTATAACAACCATGTTCTTACCAACTTAAACGGAGTATGTTTTATCTATGGTTGCAGGAACATTTACCCTAAAAACAGGATGAAGGAAACTGCTCACACGAGATAGCTCTACAAGAACAGAGGCGCGATCTCGCACTAGACACGAATACCTTCCACAACACACCTGAAGTCACGTGTAACTAAATTGCTGCGACATTGAATCCTTGGCAGCTCTATTTATAATACCAATAAGACACTTTATCTTGTATGCCTCTAAAACCAGAACTAACCATTCTTCTAGATTTATGAGGCAGATGTTCATGCAGCACGCGCAATAGACAACAATTTAGAGCTTTGGATTTTTATAGAACAATAGAAGAAACGCAATAATAAATTTGAATACAGCATTTACCGTAAACCCACAACATCAGACCAATATTGTCGAAGAAAACAATTTATAGCACAACTTGTCAACGATAATCTGAAAACTGGCCACCTACAACTCAATGGTCTACAAACTTCTAAATGTCCCACTAAGTCCGAAAAATTACACAAAGGGACATAATATAATCAAGCACATTGTCGTGGCCAATGGAAACAGATCTGATATTTTTATAAATTAAAATAACAATACAAGTCACAAGTCAACAAATATTGATAATAATTAAGTAATGTATTGCTGGGTTGAGTATAACCACCAAATAAACAACTACTTGAAGAAAGATCTGAGTAAACATGGTGTTAAACTGACTTTTAAGACTTCTAATCGGCTACGAAACATATCTTAAGGTAGACATCCACAAGTTGACAAATATCTATAGCCCCAGGTGTATACCACATAAATAAAATGTTCCGACTGCCCAAGAATCAATGCAGGCCAAAGTAAACTTTTACAAATCAGGTAAAAAAGCACCGATCGAACTAAAAATACCCCCGCCGCAGCTAACCTGCTGTCTAAGCGAATTTCCATTTTTCTGAATTAAATTTCAATTGATCTATTTAAATAAAATTAGGTTTAACGAGTACCTAGGTTTGCTGCTACAAGGAAACTAATAAAGTGTGTGTTTTAAGTAAAATAATTATTGCTTAGTATAAAATGAATATATTTGCCAAGTTTGATCAAAAGATATCCAAAAACAAGCAAACTACAACATTTTACAATATTCTCTATAAGAATAACATGGGGATTTCAAATTTACAATTTTTTTAGTTTTCTCCGTAACCAATAACCGTAAAAAAACACTTTGATATACTGAATTGTTTGTTTTTTTAAGCTCTTTAAGGAGGTTTAGAGAAAAATTGGGAAATTTTGTGTTTTGAGGGTCAAAAGTGAGAAAAACCAACTTTTACCCCATAAAACCCTGTTCCCATGGTCCGATCATGCTGGATCGCGAACTCATTCAAGTTTATCCCGCCTTACACCTTCAAACCAAATTTCATCAAAATCAGATAAAAATTACTCAAGTTATCGCGTTCACGGACACATATATATATAAATCTATATATGTATATATATATATATATATATATACATATATAAAAATTTGAACGAATGGTGTTTTTGGCCTCTGGGGACATCGAAATGAAAAAGTAAATCGGTCCCGGGCCTAAGTCTTACCATGAGACCTACGGTAATAGCTACTTCCCTATAGGGAAATTCGCTAAAACAGAAATCTTAATTCGCTCAACACATCATCGACAATAAAAATGATATAATAGATATAAGTGATGGTCTTGATATTCTACATTACTATGGGAAAGGAAATTTATTAAATACTTTGGAAGAATTCGAAATATACAAAAGTTATGATAGGCCTATAATTAATCATTTTTGTGTTTTGTGTAAAATATGCCTAATTTATTTTGACGGCACCTGAAGAAAGTTGATCCTTTTGTAAGTCTGACGATGGTGGATAAAAAACCACCGAATCATATTTAGCAAGTTATGATTTGTTTAATGTTATTAATGCAGGAAAAGTGTGATTCTGATATCATATCCAGCAACAATGGTACAGGAAAGGTCATGATGACACAGATGAGGTGACCGGAAATGTGATATCGCAGTTACTTGTGACGGAAGTGAGGTGGGATACAGACGCAGACACCGGACGTGGCCCACTCACTCACACACACACACACTCACGCACTCACACACTGACACAGCACAGATGGACCACATACCGGTGAGTGTTAGCACAGAGGAGTAATATAAATATTCCTTCTCTGAGGTTTAAGTCCACTAAGTGTACCGACTCTCGTCTCGTGCAAGACTTAATATTGTTTATGTTAGGTAAAATACTACTAATTAAATAACAACTTTACAAATAAAGATTTTTTTAGATAGCAATAAAAATATGCGTCTTGACAAAGGACTTAATTTCTTGTTGACTAGTAAACAATTTTATTCTATTAGAGTTTGATATAGATCTTATACTTAGGATATAATTTACTCAATAGTACCTTCAGTAGTTCAGGGTATAAGTGTGTGAGATATAGGACTAAATAATACATTGTTGGTTATAGTGGTTTTGTCGCTAAAAAGTACTGCTACAGAGAAACCAGTAGTCATCTCATAAGGACTACTTGTTTGTGATACAATACTACGCCGTTACTCACAGTGCATAAACTAATTTGATATCTATAGCTTTGTGGCTCAACGTAAATAGTCCCGACTGTGGATGAGAAAACGACAAGTTTATTCAAGATTGATATCAATATATATGTAAACTTCGTCCATAGCACACAAATGCTATGGACGAATCCTTTGGTACATATGCTGTTACTTATGTTGCGGACATATAGGTCCCTATGAAACTTATCAACGTAATAGTGAAATGAAGATTATCTTTTGCCCATTGTGATTTAAGAATTAGCACATGTCCTGGTGACAAAATGATCCTCGGAGATTCTCGTTACGAAATTTTTTGTACTATTCATTACTCTCCGCTCCTATAATCATGGTATTAAAAAACAAACAGACGAATCAGATGAAAAGGTTTAAAGGAAATTGATGATTATATAACCTGGTAATTAACGATTAAACGTGAACAGTACTGTAAACACTCATAACGGCGTTTCAATGTTTTTCGATTAATAAAAATATTTTTATTTACGCCATTTAGAATATGAGAATTTGGTCTAAAACTTAGCCTACACTTTTTTCATTATTAATCCCAATATTATGGAAAGTATTTGTGAATCACATACATCGTCATTGCTGCCTGACGAGATATTGTATATCTAATATTAAGTAAAATAATTTATGTTTTTATCAAATTCGGAAGCAATAATTGGCCCTTTCCTGTAAATTCAATAGTTAAGTCGATGCTTGCATTTTACTACCTATTTCATCTTCCTTATTAATTTTATTCAGAACTTTTTTTAGAAACGCCTAGAAGCTGTGACCCGTCGAAAGCAAATCGTAAAAACATTACATGAGAATTTGACTTAAAAAAAGAAAAAAAATTATAAAACATCTTCTAAACTACTGTATAGTTTCAAGTTCGGCCAGTTCGGCACTAGACTCCATAAAATAGTCGTTTTTAAATAATTTCAAGTTTACTGGATAATTCACTACTCGTCCAACCCTTTTTTATTACAGCCTACTGTAGGATGTTTGACATAAATACAAACATACCCGTGAATTTCGTTAAAAGTTTTCTTCATGACTGGGTCAATAAGTGTAAAAAAGCAATGGCGTATTTTACAGTTAGTTATTAAAACTTAATTAATTGTGTAAAACTTAACTTAAGTTCTTGTTTTAGAATTAGCACTTTTACAGAAACATTTGAAATCTAACTTAGCTGAAAAGTTTGATTCAAAAGGGCGAAACCCACGCTTTCGCAGAGTACTGTTACAAGAAAATTCAACGATATCCATTCTAACGGAAGGATAGGTATATGTTAAACCACAAATTGGGGGGGGGGAGTGGTGGTCTGTAACATTGACTTTTGGGGTAAGATGAAATAACATAAAAATTAGGTTAATATTCCTTAGAAGTTAAAAGTTACATATCTCGTTTGATATATACTCGTAGACGTCCATGTAATTATGTCTGTTCCAGATTATATTTTTTGTAGCTGTTTTTCTACCTGAAACTTTACTTGCGCTTGTTACAACATCAATCCAAGAACATTATCTTACAAACTCTGGTGGAACCCTATCCGAGTCTATAAGAAAACTCTACAAAAGACAAGCGGAAGATTTTGGACCTACAAATGACGTCGGAAATGGTACCCCGACCGACGTCGAGGGCAGCAGTACAATCAGACCGGACAGACCTGGGCGTAGGAGGGGTGGTGGTCCTCGTAGACATCGCGGACACCACGGGTGTGGCCCGGGTAGAGGTAAAGGCCCTATGAGACCTCCAGGAAACACGGACGTCAACCGGGGCAGGGACATAGAGGATCTAGCGGTAAAGGGACTAGTGACTGACCAAGAGTTAGGGGTGTCATCACACAGAGGCTACAGCAGGAGATCCAGGGAAAGAGGAGAGTGTAGGCCAGATAGATGGGAAGGAACTGGCAACGAGACATCTACATCTACACCTTCAGAAACCTCACCCTCAGTAAAAATGTGAACCAGTCAAGTAAATTAACAATTAGTGTATATAATGCTTACATATATTGGCATAAGTAAAAAAATCTCTCTGCAAAATAAATGGGGTTAAAACGTAAAAGCTAAGATTTAGTTTAAAAAGTAAGAAATTGTCAATTTATTAATAATTATTGCTTTATCTTTCTGGAATTATATATAAAATCTACTTATTGCTATTTACTGGTACCTAATCCTCTTGATCATTTTATTATTTATATCAAATGAGTGTGTTTGACAATAACAAAAATATCTCACCTTTTAAAGTGTTGCTTCAAAATAATACTAACTAAGTTTACATTAGGCTTATGTTAAGATTAAAGGTACGTTTGTTCATTAAATAATGGATAGGTCATACATACACTTAATTCGCAAGGTCGGGTAACTAGATGTGTTAACAGCTGTGGAAGACCAACAAAGTGACATACAAGTGACGTGGTTGTCACTTCTGAGATCATTAGCTGTCAAAGATTGTAGGTATAAGAGGCAACATGTGGCAACTGGGGGACAGTCAGTCATGGATTCCCGTACTTTGGTAAGTTTACTGCTCGTAATACTACGTAATACGTTACAGATCAGATATCAGAACCCCTCGAAAGAAAGGGTTAACCGTCATTGTTGATTCACCCAGTTATCAGCTTATTAGACAAAAAAATTGCTGATATAACCAATTACCCTTAATTAAAAGTCTTAAATTAAATTTGGAATTCGTTGTTAAATTAAAACCTAACTACACATAAAATATTATGTGATAAACCTAAGCTATACAATAAGATATCGGGTATATGGTAGTTATTCAGTTTATGAGAAAATGTAGTGAACGAGATGAGTTATCTGTATTTACACAATTTGGATAATTTAGGATTATCAGGAGTCAAACAGTTGCTCACGATCCTAAATCAAAAATGAAAGTAATATTTGGTTATATTGAATACAATGTGTTTTACTAAATTTCTCAAGCTTGAAAGAATTTTCATACTAATTAAATTACTCAATAAATAATTTAAATTTTAATGCTGTGTTTAAAGCCGGTCAAAAGAATGAAATGAATGCGATCGCATTTTGACTTCAGTCCGATAGAAAATACTTCTTACAGTGATGTTTCTTTCCAGAAAAACTTGGATAGATAACCTATAACTAGGTAACCTATACGTTGTCACTATAAACATCTATAAAGGCGTTGCTTGTTCATATTTCCTTATGAAGTATGAACATAATAACATAACATAACCACAACATTTTATAGTTAACAACGGTATAGTAAAATATACATCTTACATATGTTACTTCTCTGTGGGTTAACTAAGCAATTCTATGAGAAAATGTTTATTTCATTGTCCATCCAGGCCTTCACTCTGCTCTTGGTTGGGTTGGTTGTGGCCCCTCCCCCTGGACCAAAGGGCAAACCTCCTGGACCCGCCCACTCACAAAGCTCTAAAGGACCCTACGATGAGGATGCTGAACCAAGCCAGGAGCAGGACCAAGAACAATACGCCTCAGAATACTTTCCTGAAGGTAAACCATGCATGCTAGATTGTTCGTGTAAGGAATGTAAATGTTTTGTGCTCCTATGTTTTAGTCAAATATTATGGATATTGAATTGTAATATCTCTTCAACAAATGCCGACCATAAAGTAATAGATATGACTAAATCAATCCGTATTATTTCTGTTTTCCTAAAAGAACGAATCCAACATGTCTGAAAATAAGAATGGCACTTACATATGGGGATTGACATAATGAAATGTTTACAGGTCAAACTCAAGGATTCCAAAACCCACAAAACTATCCGGCGCAAGGCTCTTATCAAGGATCTTTCAATCCTCAAGAAGGCTTCGACAGCCAGGTGTCTGTAGGCTACCAATCACCGGACTCTCAACAGAACCAATTCCTTCTACAGCAGCAGTTCAAGCCTCAGCAGCAGTTCAAGCCTCAGCAACAACAGCAGCAGTTCAACCCCCAGCAGCAAGCGTACTTCCAGCAACAACAGCAGAGTGCCAAGCCTTACCAACTACAGCAGCCAAGCTACGGCTACATGCCTCAGACTAGTATGGGATACTTGCCCAGCATGTACAACCCAATGCCCATGATGATCTCCCCTCATGACTTCACACCCTCCTTCCCCAGTTTCCAAGGTTTTCCAATGTCTGTCGGAGGTTACGGAGTGCCTCAGATGTCCAACCAACCTTCCTTCCAACAAGGAGCTCAGGGCTACCTCACAGGACAGCCCCAAGGACAAGTTGAAGGTCAGGTGAAGTTTTCAGCCCCGAAACCTCAACGAAAAGGAAAGAAGCCCAAGCCAAGCCAAGCCCAAGAAGCTGTCCCTATTTAAAATTATAGAGAGTTCTACGCTCAACAGTAGTTTACAAATATGATAAGATATTAAACATTTTACTAAACATTTTAATGTGTAACTTGATTTTCTCATATAATACAGTTTTATAGAGTGTGAAATACGTCGGAATAAAAAAAAATTATTCTTGAAGAGTACAGCAAAACCAGTTGACTCCACCAATTACGTTAAGTGGGCCAAACCATTTGAAAACGAAAATTGGGTTGGCGTAAATTGATTACCCACAGAGGGGGGAGGGGGTTACTTCCGACACACCCGGGCACTTCAACACCAACCACACGTCGTGTGAAGACCCGGAAGCCATAATTTTTACAACTTTGGCAGTAAAGCGAAGTGTGACCGACTTTCGCCCTTTGTGGCCCGTGGCCCGCGAGAACCCCTGCCCGAGCAATCCGACGACCAACAGCTTTACGGCTCTTGTCATTGCTCTCCTCATATCAACGTAAAAGCTTATCGAGCCCTTTGAAACATCCGCCTGGACCTCGGGCACGCCTGTTAAATTGTTTTGAGATGTCCGACTAGTTTATTACTAAAGCTCTGTCAATGTTACTTGGGTACTAAAAATGTTTAGAACAGTTGCACAGCTGTTGTGTTTGTTTATATGCTATACTGACCGTGCGTCAATAACATTGTCAAACTCCAACAATACTTAAAACTGGTACCTTTCACCACTAATGCAAACAAGAAGAAACGTACTATTGCATGGTTAAAGTAATTAAAATATATTTTGCTGAAAATGCAGTCTGTAATATGTAATTTTTATGATATAATGTTATTTTTACTTTTCTAACGTTAATCGTGTTAAAAACTACACAACACTTCTGGAGGTGGATCATTTCCCAGTTTTTTAATTAAATTTAAAAAATTTGGTATGTATTGTTGAAATAGGCTGGATTTGATGTGCAATTTAGAATAATTTTTTTTTATTAGAATATACTACTTACGTAGTTGCATTACCATTTTCGTAAAATATTTAGGTTTTTACCTAATTATGAAATATAAAGCCCAGGTTGGTTTTAATTTAGTATCTAGGTAAAAAGTCAGGAATGAGGCAATAGTCAGTTAGTTGCGTGTGAATCTAAAAATAGCTGATTAACAGTACTGAAATGCCACTTAGCCAGTTAAATTTTAATAGAAATTCATATACACGAACCTTCATAAGCACTGCAGCAACCAGAGGCAGGTCTTTACATTTACGCCAAATGATCCGTGACGTCCTTGATTTATCCGGTTTTCAATGATGGAATAATCAATATTAATATTTCCCTAATAATAATAATTACCGCGATCGGCGATTGATTAGAAGTGTTGAACGTGGTAGAGGCGGGCCTGATGATTGATAGGAAATGTCAAGACCGTGTAGTGGTAGTAGACGAGTGTACTGTGTTGTATAGTGAGGTGAAGTAGGACAAGGTCGCGGGCAAGCTGTGTCGTTGACTCAGCATTGTCATGGGACCTCCACAACAATGATCATCCAGTTCATCAATTGTCCACTTGCCTTCATTAAAAATTCGTTTATACGAGCACTTCAGCTATAAAGCGAAAAAAAGTGTTGAACGCTTGTTTCATGATGGTAAGAAATAATTAATCTCACTACAGGACCTACACTTTTTAATTCTATTAGATTATTTACGTTAAGCGTCTTTGTTAGAGAAATTAAAATTATGATTTGCCGTGGATCCAACCTTCTAAAACGCTCGGGAATTTCTGGAGACCTAAACTGTCCTTCCCGCACCCAAGTCTGAGTCGCTAACCACTAAAAATATCACCAACCCGATGCTTAAAACCGATTCAATGCCCATCACTGGTGTGATACTTAAAAATTGTAATTGAATTAAAATACCGTAAAACTCACCAAATAATTATTTTGACACGATTACGGAAAGTAAATAAAAGAAACGTCTAATAACACTTAAGACATATATTTACGCGTATACTGTTACTCACAAGACGGTAAGTATACACAAAAAATGGTAAGTGGTGATCGATTTCGATTGACTATCGCCTATTGGGTCTAATGATGATTGGAGTGTCCAATCGAAATCGATCTCCACTTACCATTTTTTGTGTATATTTACCGTCTTGTGAGTAGCAGTATAAGCGTGAATATATGTTTTAAGTGTTATTTGACGTTTCTTTTATTTACATTTCGTAAATTTAATAACACGTACAATGCTGATGAAGAAGTTATTTGACACGATTGTAAACAAAATGAAATGTATAAAACACTATTGTTTGTTGCTTAAGGGCAATATCGATATTAAAACAGATTAAAACCCATATGAACCCCTTGTTTATTTCATAGTTAACGTTTATTAGTGGCATTTAGGTTAATATATCGTTTCCAAAGGTACAATTCAGATTGTCTTTAGCAAAACATTGTATAACAGATTATGTAAAACTTTGAATGGTATGCGTAGTTTTTACAATAATTTTGAGTATAAAGATTTTTTTAATGTTTAATTAAATTAAACAATAAAACAACAACAACAAATTAATAAACAATTAATTTAACAATTATATTATTTACATGAAATTATTAATTTAATTGGTAAATTACAAAAAAACTCCTAGATAATACTGATCAACATCAATAATTGAGTTCAATAAATACTAACTCCAATAATTAAGATGTTACTAGCATTTGTTAGTAGGCTCGGTCTAATAATTCTTAAGTTATTTCCCAGCTTCCAAATATCCACTTTTCAAATGATTTTATTGGCCATTCAGTTACATACAAACAATAGGCTACGTCAAACAATATCAATAAAAAATAAATAAATAAACATGCCAAACTTCTTCTTGCACTCTTGACAAACAAGATTAAAAGCTGAAATGAACACATGCAGGATCTCACTCAATACAAAACATGCAAAGCAATGCATGCATACTAAAAATGAAAAAAAAAATAAAAACTACATGCTGCAAGCTATGCAAGGCAGAGAAAAAAAAATTTACAATTTTGTAATACCTCTGCTAACTTTTTCAGGCTATAATGTTTAATGAGATTAATCTATAAGTATAAAAGAGGATGTTTGTATATTTGGCAGTGATAAACTCAGACACCGCTGAACCGATTGCCACGAAACTTGGTACATACGTGTAGAATGTCATGGAATAGGTTTATACACCATCAATTTCGTGATCCGTCCAATCGGCTCCGCCCCAGTGGCTCTGGAGTTTCCCATGTTAACCTTATGAGAAATGGAATTAATGAATCTTAACAGCTGTTTCAATTAAACAAGTTGCTTCTGTTCTATGATGTTCAATAGCATTAAAGTTACAAGGATTACCAACAGGGTGCAGCACTATTATTTCTTTTACATTTATGACAACAGCTAATTTGTAACCAAAAGGTGAGTGAGCATAGCGAACGAACTTCAACCTGGAGGCGAGTTAGCGTAGTGAACGAGTTAACCTGAAGGCAAGTGAGCGTAGCCAATGAGCTAACCTGAAGGCAAGTGAGCGCAGCGAACGAGCTCCAACCCAAAGGTGAGTGAGCGTAGCGAACGAGCTCCAACCTAAAGGTGAGTGAGCGTACCGAACGAACTTCAACCAGGACGTGATTGAGCCATACGAATGAGATCATCTTGAAAATACTGTCATTAATAACCATGAATAAAAATAACCATTAATAATAAGCTAGCATAACCTAGCGTTAATATAAGAGCAATAATAAAGAATCGGTTATCCTTTGTACTATATGTGTTTCATTAGTTGTCGTACGTATTTTAATTTAGTTATAAGCACTTCATATACAATAAGACAATTAAACATTACGGTACTTAAATTATAAATAGTCAAAGGCAAGACAACGTCTGCCGGGTTCAGCTAGTAGTTTCTAAACTTATATGCAATACGTACTATCAATATGACTGTGTTTAAAGTAAAATCGTTTTCTTCTATGACAGAGAAGCTCTTTTCACCATGTTTGAGGCGTATTTTCATACTCTTTGAGTCGAATCTTTTAAAGTAATCAGAAATTATGACTGTTTTTCGTTTTAAAATAACGCCTGTAATACTTAGCAATTGCTCGAATTAGAGCAACAGGGACACTAGTAACATTAAATACGTGCAATATTCATTTAGAATAAAACATTGAAATATGTACTTTTCATACTTATAAGATCTTTATCTAGGATATTTCTTGTTTACTTACACGTACATACAATTTTAATGGATCCATTACGAATACTGATTCGACACAAAAACTATAAATTTATCCAATTACTATAAACACAATCAATAATCCCAACTGAGCACGATTGGTTCCGAACGATTGATCTTAAACTGTACATTAGTTATGGGAAAGTGTTAAGTGGAGGGTCGGGACATAATTTGGCGCTAAACATAGTTAGTTGGGGTTAACACGAGTCTTCAATAAAGCCGACCAATCATTCAACAAATTACCCTAAACAGAGTAATACTCCGGTTCTCACGTCTGCAGCAGTAAAAGTGAGAGAAACGAACCGCTCAACTTTCAATTAGTGTTTCACACGCATCCGACAACGAATGAATGCACCACTGCATTTATGGATCAACTTTTACCGATAAAATCATCACGGTAAGTGCTGAGTATTATTTTCACTTTCACATAAATTTATATCGAGGATTTCTAGTATTAGATGTTTACATTTGTTTCCTTACAACTCTAATTTATTGTTTTCAGTTTGTAAAAACACCGCAGCAATGGAAGTACCTTCTAGATGAAAATATCCGTTATGCCTTCACCTCGTCGCTACAGGGTTTCTTAAACAGTTTTAAAAGAAAGCTTTGTTTTTGGTTTAACCCTCTTAAACAAACTTACAGCTTTGAGTAATAAAGAAATTTGAATTTTGGGTTCTTGGTAAGTTAGTGGCTTATTTAGTATTGGGAAAACTGTAAAACCAATTTAGTGATGTCGTGGGTTTGCGTCTCAAATGTGCCATTTAACATTATTATCATACACCTTACACGTGTTGGTAGCCTACTGGCTAACTGCTTGCTTTGATTGATACGTTTCACGGCCACCAGGCATAAAAGAGCTAAATAAAAGTATTATAGCTAAAAATGCT